CTAACAATGAAGGTAGACGTTGAAAATCGAATTTTGTCTCTAACGCCATTGTCAAAAACAGCTACCTGAGATTATCCAACCAGAGTCAACCCTGCGTTGCGCAGTTCGCAACGGCACGTTGAGAGATCCTCAACGCACGCTGTATGGGCGGAGACGCAGACGGCTCGAGCATGCGAGTGTGAATGTTCGCGCGAGAGAACGTGTCTAATCGGGCGAAACTGCGCAACGCAGGGTTGACTCTGCGTATAACCCTAATTTACTCATAGCTAGCCAGGCATGTGGGTTGGTATAAGTCCCCTTCCAACAACTCCGAATTTGATTAGATATGTCACTTCCAGTTATGTATTATGATACCCCCCCCCTCGCTCCTACCACCCCACACCACATTTCACTCATATTGAATGATCAACTTTATCCTGTACTAACTACCCCGGGGGGCTGGGTTTCTATGTACAACCTTATTTTCGAAAGTAGCCTTTAGCGTCCAACATTACTTAAAGGAATCTTGCGCGGAAAAATCATGATTCTATTTCAGCCATAAATCACTGGCTTGAGACTCATTATCCACGATAATAGTGAAAAGAACTGAAGTATTGCTTTCGTTTTGATTAGAAATTCGAAAACTCGAAAAGGCTGCTACGCGTTCGAATTGCCCACGGACGTCTTTCACGAATGCTGGCGACGGGGATGCTCAAACTTTCTTGGAGTGCATTCACTAGAAGCTCTTTCTGGCCTTCTGCTTCGTTGCATTCACATCTTACACTTCTACTCCATCCTATTCCATCGATCGATTTGTCTCCACTCTCCGAAATCGCGCGCTTTAACCCGATTCTCTCATTGCGTCGCCTGGTACGTAGCCGGCCAAACGCCGTCTTCTTTCCATGCCTCGCCTGGCTCTGCCTCCTGGTCCTTCGATGGTCCATAACGTGTAGTTTTTGTACGTTTGTTTCTCTTCAGAAACCGAATCTTCATGCGTGAAACTTTGTGTGCTATTTCCAGTGATCACAACTGACATATTCATGTTAGGAAAGAGTGCAAGAATTTTCCGCAAGATTCCTTTAACCTTAATTGAAATTTAAATTTACTTCATATGTATGTCAATCTCGAGCTGCACAGTGAAGTACAACTGGTTGGTTTTGAGCAGTATTCAGCGCACCCAACACACAAGCAACCCGTCAGCCAACCCAAGACAATCTCTCATTGACTCTAAACAGGGAGACAAACGTCATTGCTGACGTACCTACCAGTGCTCACGCTAAACCTTGTGCATGGGCATCCTTGTCGAGGATCCCTTGACCTTAATTGAATAACAGAAACAACCACCAACCTGCATTATGTGACAGTTCTAGCCTTTTTTCGCCGAAACACAAAAGAGGTTGGTTTACTCACCTTACAAAGAAATTCGTTTTCTACAAACAAATACTATTTATATTCCGAAAAAACTGTAAATATCACATCAAATTATGCATAATACAACCTGATAAATCGTCGCACAGGAATGAAAAGGCACACTTTACACTACACACATGTCACAGACACTGAAAACCAGTGTCCAATACTACAAAATACTTACAGTTCAATTTTGTGTTTATTCTGCCTACCTTATCAAAACACTAATTGAAGACAATTAAGTAGAATTCGCATTGCTCACAGTACCAAAGGACAGTATATCCGGAAATGTCGGCACAAAACCCGACAAACCACTTCGGCTAACCCGCGTGCTGTGTAGCAATGTACAGACTACGTGGGGTAGCTCGAATCAGAAGAACACATATCCCAAGAAGGAAGAGAAGCACAAAATTCAATGCACGGTAGCAATACGCGCTCAGAGAACGGCTCCTGAACAGCTTTAATTGCTCCGCCTCAGTTCTACTGCGACTACTGATTATCCTCAATTTCGTTCTCAATTCACTTCGGAGTTTAAAATCATCAAAGTTTGTTATGAATTCTTTCTGATTTCTCCTGCAACAATCGGATTTGGATGCAACTCTCAGAGTTATTTTAATCGTTTTGTTTAACCCTATTTCAAGAAAGAACAATCCAGCTTATTCATAATTCATTAAGCAAAAGTTGTTGTCTGCTCAATAACAAACTTACATTTTGAAATGATAGTCGTAATCTAGTTTCGAAAGTCGATAAAGTTCAACAAATTCAATATGAATCTCTACGGGCAGCTATTTATTGAAGCAGACTCGATAGAGAGATGAATTTTACGCTTCTCTGATCCGTTCTAGGGCCGAGAAAAGAAGTGAACTGTTCGAAAACGCTCACTGTGCCGCAGGAGCAACATGCAGCTAACAGAAATGTTACAACAATAAAAATGCAATGTAAGTGTAAGTAAATTTTTAAGACCGATCTAAACGAGGCTTATAAATATTATATCACAATCAGATTAGCAAATGCATCATAATGTCAAAATCCTGGCCCCATGCAGAATGCAGAGTTATGAAAAAATGCGTAGTTCAATGAAATCAGGCAGAGTATATTGGGACCAGGACCTCATTGGTATAAAGGAAATCAAGCTCAGCGCACTACAATATAACTAGAAATCAAAACTAGGCTTTTTTACCCGTCATCACAACACTGTTCACTTTATCCACCGGTGTTCCATACTCGTTCTCCTCCAAGTCACCAAGCGATTCACCTGGGGGACACTTGGCCCATCTCCAGATGTCCTTCGGAAAAGCCGTTGACATCTCGGCTAGCCTGAATGAGAAGCACATAATACGACGACTGTCGTATACATAATGCATCCACCTTAAGCAACTGCAACGGCACTTAATATAGCTTCCAGAACCACGGAAATACAGTGTAGACACTAACACAATGGTAGACACTACGCTGGTTACAACCAAGTGCAATGGCCCGATTCCAGCGAAATCTTGCAAACCGTATTGCCCTACCTTTTATCAACTTTGTCGATCATCTTTTGGAAGTCTGCCGCTGTGGGTTGCGCTGCATCAATTTGTGCCATTGTTGAGCGTCCTGCCTCGTCGCCAAGTCGCAGAACATTGTCGAGGAAATCATCACCGAACGGATCTGAAAACTTTTAAGCTCCTTGTAGTTCTACAATATAACATGCTCAGCCAAAGATTACCGAAAAACAATCCCGGGTAGGGATTGGAATGAAATTCCTCACAAAATGTTTTTGAAGAACAGTTTCTTTACTTTAGCACGAGCCTTTGGGTTTCTTGGACCATACCTTGGAATGGCTCTTCTTAAGACAGTTTGCTTGGGAAAATAAAGAAAAAATTTGAGGATCTCCTGCTATTTTCACGGAATGGTGTATACGGCCCCTGGCAATCCCATACCCGGATGTACGTAAAGCTCTGCTTCTTGGGGGCATGGCTATCTATCCTTCCTCACTGGCGAGCCCACAATGGCGACACAGTGTACTCCCGACAAGGGTCAATAATCACATTCAACGTACGTAAGCAGCGATATGATCCAGCGGGGTACGCAACAGTGTTCGGCTCATAAAAAATTATGTACTTTAAAATATATTGAGCTCGGGGGCAATGCTTGCAAAGTACAAGAAATTTTGTGTAAGGTAGCTAAAAACAGACTTCGGAGGTTCAGGGATATTTACCAGTGAAATCCCCGTACAATTCGCGTCTATCTTGCATGTATTGATCAGGAGGGATGAATTTAATCCAGTTTTTTTTGTCCACCAGCAGAGCGCATTTCAACATCACACTTACCAATAACTCCTCTGAATTCCTCTACTTCGATTTGTTATTCGCCACGAGGATCAAAGTTGTCATGTCGACAATACACATCCCTACACATATGTTCGTCCAACCTGTTACAAGTTTATGACAAGATCTATCGAACACGACCTGAAGATCGGCTATCATACCTTCGAGTAAAAATGAGATAGGGAACACAAGTCGAAATGTAATTGGAACTTCAATTATAACCTACAGGAAGCAGGCAACATGTGTATTCGCACGAGCAGGTTGATCTCCTTGGCTGGGGAACAACAGCGGTAGGAGGGGGGAGGAGCGCTGGTCGAGAACCAGGGACAATAGGAGGTGGAGAAAGACCGATGGAAGGCCGGCCCGAAAGGTAACAGCTAGACCTAACGGTTTGTGGAATGTTATGGCCTGAAGACAAACAATTAATATCGCTAAACAACAAAAAAAGAATGAAACGCTTACCATTAAGCTGAGTGTTAGTATTAACAGTCGGTGCGAACTCGGATGGAGCAGTGACAAGGCCAATGAAAGGATCGGTTCGGCAGCACTTGTGTGTTGTGAGGTGTAGAATAGACAGCCTTTAAACAACAAAATACTGACACTATTCACGCTACTTGACATACACAAAATAAAGTATATAAGCTACGATTACAGGAGAGAAGTTACCGATTACAGCGAGAGAAGGTTTAAAAAGCTTCAGAAGTGCATCATTCTCCCGACCAGTTCAGGACTAAAATTTTCGAAAACATGGAATTTTGAATGGTATGAAGAATAAGACAAAAATCCTTAGCAGTCAGGAGTCAAATCCAGAGGAATAAATTCCGATTAGAGCCAGCCATGGAATTGGATTTAATACGCCATAGAACAAAACGGTTTTTGTTAGAACCAAATCTCAGGAATGGAGTTGCCATAGTAAAACAAAAAAATGCTGCAAAACCTGCTTACATTCGCACTTATCCGGGGTGGACAGATTTGGCATTGAGTTGATGGTAAAGCGGGTGTGTCGAGAAGTGATAGCTGCAGAAATAACTATTGCAATAATCGCGAATTCCTTACAAACCTACAACGTCAAAAGAACGTAGTAGCAGCATAAATTATCAGGCATTAATTGACACACCTGCGGAGTTTTATTTGCTCTAATCGCTTCAGCCAGCCGTTGACTGAGCACTTGATTTTCGGCCTCCAATTCAGCTATTCTTTTTCGAAGGACGAACACCTAAAATAGCGACTAATTAAGGAAACAGCAACGATTCATCACTTTGAATATCATTTAATCAAGGATTTCGTATGAGATTAAGTCACATTATGAATAATTTCAACTTCGTACAGAATTCCCAGCCAATGGTGAAAATCACGTAATCTTAACTACAGTTCTGTTTACCGTTTACTTACGTAACCGTGCTCTTTTCAGTGATCCGTAAAAAATGTCACAAAGCAGGAAATGCCAAATCAGCAGTGGCAGAAGCTGCATGGCAAAATAAGGTGCACCTTGAGAAACAGTAGAGCTTCTACAATAGTTTTCTCATTCTATAACAAAATACAAATTTATCTTCCTATTGCCGACAATTATACATATTCTAACAGGGCGTAGTGGCATGCGCGAAATACCGGTGAAGGACCCTTCAACTACGCACCTATCGTGGTAAGCAGTGTGCGAAAAGTACACCACCGCAAACCCATTCCATCTAGACTAATGTGGCACGCAGACAGATAGAATCCGTTCTAACGGTAGTCAAGCATTCAAATTCACAGTTCAGAACTGCCACACAAATTTCCTACACCTTATCTAACAAACTATCCCAGAAATAGCCCAGAAAAACCTTGAAAAGCCTAGAATAAAACTTTTATGGAAGGACAAGTTTACGTGGTTTATGAACGACATACGGATGAAAATGCAGACAACACCGCAATTCAAAAAACTGGTTGTAAAGTTGTAAAGTATCTAAATTACAGCATAATTAATCGATTTCTAGAGATAGTACCTGCTTCTGATTCTCCAGCGAAGTTCTGTTCTTGTCCAAGTACCTCTGAAATAAGATCTTGAAGAAATAGTTTTCAATTCAGAACGCTGAAGAATTCCACAACTGTGATGTGCAAGGCGGCATAGAGTGCATTATATACGATCCGAATGGTTAACTGTACTCCTCTTTCAGGCCTTCTCACCGACCCCCTAGCTTTGCACATCAACACCACACCCTCCTAACCATTTCGATGGCTGGAGGATCACAACATATGAGCACTGGGTTCAATTGTCAAACTCTGGTTTACTTCGGAAAGTGAAAGGTGAAAAAGGAAATGAGATTGCGGTGACTCACCTTATACGCCAAATCGAACGCCTCCCCCACAGTCAATGTGATTTGTTCAGCCATCTTATCACTAAGAAATACGAAGCACTCATGCTTGTCCGGATCTGATTGTGACTTCGCGATAAACGAGAAAATACGTTTGTCCTGAAAAAACAAAAAAACCGGAAGAGCCAACGCAACATTTTGGCCTTAATTGAAAAGTAGCAAAAATCTCAACAAAAAGAAAATGGAAAGTAGGCTTTATCTGGAAGAATAGCACAAAGCAGAAAAGATAAAAAGCTGCACCTGCTTGTCGTCGGCACAAAACGATATCTTCTGAAGGGGATAGCGATGAAGTGCCATCTTCGTCTTGTAGTCGACTATCGTAACCCCTTCCACATTGATTTGAATGTCAACTTTTTGAAGTTTAGCTCCTGCTTGTGTGGATTCAAAACGTTTCACCTTCAAATATAAATAATTCGAAAAAAGGAACCTGAACTTCGGAGCTAACAAAAAATGACCTTACCCCATTTTGAAACTGTATTGCATGGATCGCGTCGCGTATCGCTTTTGTACCTTTAGCTTCTTTGACTTCCTGGGAACCGAAGAACTTGACGCTGTACTCGACGCGACCATTCAGTAGTACATCGAAAATCATATGGAATTCAGTTCCACGAGTTTTTCCAACAACAAACTACTGTTTTGATAACTGCGCGTACTTTTTACTGATAAGGAGCTACTGCTTAATTTCCGAAAAAAGTAGAATCAACTTGAAATTTATGAGACTGCATCAATATTTATAGCAAGCATACAAATGACAAGAAATTGACGGGCACGTAAGATGAACACTACGTCCTTTGCAGCTACCACGTAAGAGACTGCGAAGAATTGTGTCAGGGACATGACCATGAATATGGGAGTTCTTATTTCAGACTCCTTTCGAAGCAGTTTACCCTGCTTACCTGGGGGATGGATCCAATCCGTTTTTCCAGAACCGCTACCATATTTGGCTCCAGATGAGTTCGAAGTAGACTGTGACGAGCTGAGCACCTAAATTAACCATCAGTGAACGGCATGGTGAGCAGCATAACACAATAATTAATAGAAGAAGATAAAGCTCAGCCAAACAGATACTGGATCGAAGGCCAAGACAATTTAGCGAATGATCTGGATCACCGACTTTGAGAACACGATCGAGAAGTAGAATGATTATAAGCGTGCAAAGCTAAGTTGAAATAAGAAACTGCCAAATGGAAATACTAGATGCGCCTCCAAACTCATAATAATCATTCGCGATACATAATCAAATCCACGCACATAATTAATGACAAGTGTTAGAACAAATCACCACAGAAATAATAACTCCAATATTCAAAAAAACCTAGCAAGATTTAACGAAAATTAAGAAATAACAGACGGATCACACTTACCACAGTAGCAACGAAGAACACACCGAAAAAAATTGCCCTCACTCTGTAACCTATAAAAGAAAATACACAGAGGAAGACGTGAAAAGAACACAATCATAATAATAATATAAGACATCAATAATCTAACAAACGCAAACTAGAAGAGATCAACAGACTATCAGCAAGAAGACACAACACTGTTTCATACAATAGACTGGTTGAATATTAATTGAAATAATATACATAAACAAATGGTCATACAGATAGCGAACACATCCTTGATAAACACAAATGAACTAAATTCACAACCAGGACAATAAAGCGACTCACGTACACTCTCAATACCGAATTTAGGCAATTTTACTTATTTCCAAAACATTAGCGAGAGGAAATAATCGCAAAGGACACCCAAAAACCCGCACTGACTAGAACATGTTGGCAAAACTAAGTGAGAGAGAAGCTAAAACAATACAGAGTGAAAATAGATCCACATAAAAAACTGCATCACCCCACATTTAAATTCTAACTTACAGTAACTTCTTTCAATAAGTTACATGCAAATCCGAATGAAGAACTGAACACAGAACACACAAACGTGACCGGCCCGACGAATCCAACGCAGGCAACTAGGAGGTGAAAAAGTGAAAGAGAAGAGTCCACTGGGAATCCTCTGCGATCGAAGGTGCTCCAGAACACTGAAAGGAAAGGTGTATCGGGCAGTGGTGAGGCCTGCGATGCTGTACGGCAGCGAGTGCTGGCCCCTGAACAAGAATCACGAAAGGCAGCTAAAGGATGAGGATGCTGAGATGGGCCTGCGGCTGGACGCGACTGGACAGGGTTCAGAAACGAGGAGGTCAGAGCGGTCATGCAGACTGCCCCTGTCCAGCTGAAGGTACGGGAACAGCGTCTGCGATGGTATGGGCACGTGCTAAGGAGGCCACAGGACCATCCAATAAGGAAAGCAAATGGACTTCGAAGCGCAAGGCAAGCGACCGCGAGGGCCAGGGGCGGTATTCAATCCTTCCCCCAGGGGGATATATCCCCCTACTCTGATTCAATCCTCTGGGGGGACAAAAAAGGGTTGCGTCATAGGACCTAGCATACCTCTGTGTTTCTACCTGCCAGACAGTTAGAGCAGCGCGACCCCTCAGGATCTCTTTGACTTGAGCGCTTCCAAGCGATCAATTTTAATCGAATGCTGGGTCCTAGGAGCATTTCAAGGGTTCTGGACAGAACTTCATGCAAAGTGTTGGATGAATTGATTTGTCACAGTGAACAGGAGAATTTCACGTTTCCTCACCGTTCAGGGTAATATTACAGGCATTATTACTGTGCTATCGAAAGGTAAAACGTGCATGTCATTCAACTTTTCCCTGTCAACATTGGAATTTCATGACCAAGTAAGTATGGCAGTTCTAGAAAAGGGTTCCGCTAATTTGATATATGCTTACCGCTTTTCAAAAAAAAACTTTTGAGGAAGGTACGCTGGTTTCGGGAAGGGTCAGATTTCCAATTTTACCTTTTTGAAGGAGGGAGGGGAGCTAATGAGCTCCAGATTTCACATGTACTTGAATCCAAGCACAATTCCCTCCTAATATTTCCATTTGTTTCTTGACAAAAAAAATATCACAAGATGGACCAAATTTATCAGAGCAACGTAAGTTACAACGGGACAACTATCACACTTTCGAAAAAAAAATACAGAGAAGCGAATCTATGGCAATTTATACAATTTCACAGAGAATGAGGAAATTGTGGGTACTGGAAGAACGTTTTTACAAAAGCTGGAATTTCATTTCAAAAGACTTGCACTTAGCTAAGGAGCAGCTCTTTGATAGTGACCACCCCAAAAGCTACGTAGCTGTCGGCCAAGCCCGTCTCACGGCCAACGCAACGACGTACCGTGTCTGGTCTCTGCCGGTCTCCTAGCCGACACCTACAAAAGCTACGTTTCGGAGCAAGCGAGAAAGCCAAAAATCGGTCATACAGAGCTAAGAGCGCCGCCCGCCACAGTGGTCCCGCGTTTCCACGATGTGGCTTACAATTAAAGGCAGCGACTACGATAGGTTGTGGAGGGGCTTATTGGAGACGTGTTGAAGCTCAGCGAAAAAAAGAAGAGAAATCCGTCAAGAAAACGCAAAACGGGACCCCTTTTTGGCCGTTGGTTTTCACTCATGAACAGGTAACAGCTCAGAAAGCGGACGTATGAACGAGTTCACCGCAACGCGTTTGGTGGCACCATGCCAAACCACGCTAATCGAGTTGCTCCAGTTGTGCCGCTGCTGGCAACGCAGCTCGTCCAAATCACCAACTGAACTAGTGGGCGGATCCGGGTACCCCCAGGAGGCCCGTCGCGCGGCAAGAAGGCAAAGTCAGCGGACGAGTCACGCGCGTACTACGTACGCGTACTAGGGATTTCGCGTCAAGTTGAACAGAGTGTCCCACTGCACGTCCTACATCGCACACCATGCGCTGCAACTCGTCCGCCGACTCTGCCGTCTTGCCGCGCGATGGGCCGTCTGCGGATTGTACCGCTGGCGGATCGCTTTTGGGAGTGCTTTCCAAGTTCTGCTCATAAACTAGCGCACCTTTCGTCATGAAAGCGCTACACCTCGCTTCTTCTGGCAGCCACGTAACTGTTTGTTCGTGTGGTGCACATGCTTCCCGATGCGCTCACTCTTTTTCGTAATCGCTTCCTTTAAGTCACTTTATACATTAAGTATGGCTTTTTTTTCAGACGTACAACTGACTAGCAGAAATATTCCTCACGCAAGATCTTGCAT